TGAACATTTATTGCCGATTCCGTATCTGTTTGAGAACTCATCGATTCCCTTAGCAGCTTGTGCGGTCAAATTAATTGTCGGAAAACTGAACGAGCACGAGGAAGTATTTGAATATCTTATGAGGCAGTGAAGAACTCTGAAGCTTTTCTCGAAAGTGAACGACTATCTGAACGAATAGGTTACTGTGTGTGATGCCAGCGAAGCGTAACAAAAAGCAATGATAAAATAACACTTAGGAAGCATAATATGAGTTTTACTTTGCCCCAAAAATGCAAAGAAGGAGAAGAAATTGCTATTAGTTGTGGTCGTATGGTTGGAGCATTAACATAAAGCTGTTATTTGAATATCATTGAAAATAGCAAACTAAACAACTCACATGAATGTTACTCATAGGTGGACACCACAAAAGAAAGCAGCAGTCGTCATCGCACTCCGAAACTTCGAGTTCGAGACCATTCCAGTGGATACAACATGGAAGAGGCAGTGTCGCCAGTGTTTCACAGCTATCACCATTTCTCAGATTTTACCTGACAGTTTGCACTCTGTTGACCACATGCATATTCGATTGTTCATAAAACTTTTCTTGAACTGCAATGCAATCGCGACTGGAACATCACCTATTGTGTTTCGTATTTACTAGTAATGTAATATGAAATATATTTACTAGTAATGTAATATAAAGTAAAAATTACTATCAAAATACTTCTTTGAAAACAAAATCACGGTTACGACGCATCTGCTTCGATTGTTAATGAGACCATCTGATACGATTTCAGTTTTCATTAACAACCACCATGGAAATGGAATATGTGCCTCAAAAAACTCGGATATGAATGGTTAATAACTTGGATGAATTTAGAGCACTATGTTGTGTATGAAGAGGTTTAAAGCTCTGCTGTTTTGTTTTCAGTTCACTCTGCACATGAATGATTAGAAATTTCCGGTGTTTTTTATGTTGTACGTGTTTTCTTGATAATGTTTGTTATGTGATTTCTTACGTTTATCTTGCGTAAATGAATCAACAGTCCATTACATCATAAAGTTTTATCGTTTTCTTCGTCGATGTGAAGTGTTTGTTGGTCGTCTGTTGGCAAAAATCAATGTTTTTGAGTGTAAATTTCGCATTTGTGTTGTGAAGTTCCATATTTTGAATATCTGTTCATTTGAAGCGGCTGAATAAATTTTTGAAGATCAACAATTGACGGGGTCAGTTAGTACTCTTCGTTCACAAGCCATTGCGTTCTGTCAATAGCCGAACCATTTGTAAAAGAACTAATTTTAAACGGAATAAATCCGTGCATATGCAGTCTGTAAGATTATGTTGTACCTGTGAATACGAGCGTATTCGAGGTTCTGCCTCACTGGCTTCACTCTCCGTACTTCTTCGCAACAGATTTTAACATGGAATTTTTTTTTTGCGCTACAGGGTTGAACATTCTGGTTTCGCGTTGGCAGCGTTGTGAAGAGGCGAAAGGTTCCTATGTTGAATGAAAATGTTGACCTTGTGCCAACCTATGAAACTTTGAAATTTTTGGTCTCACTACCTTTTTTCGGTACAACTCTCTGTTACACCAGATAGTTCAGCCTGATTCGATGTGACTGAAGTAAGCACGAGAAATGCAATGTGCTCTCTAATAGAGTTTTGTAAATGAATGAACGAATGAACATTTTATTCACATCAACTTCATAAAATGAGAACAGTTCGGTGAAATCATGATCGACGATTCCGTTGGATTATCCACATTTGGTACATAGTTCAACGAAGACAGCAATTATGTGACGGCGCATTCGAGGATTGAATTTTGCATAAATGGAAATACGAATTGAACTGGTGAACATATACAGTATACTTACTGTATCACCAAAGATCGTGTAGAACGGCGACGCAAGCGTTTCGTCCTCTTCCGTGCTGTAACAGTCAGTATTCATTCTAGTTCTGCTACTAGAACAGTCATTATTTATCATTTCATTATCAATAAACTTTCCAATCGTAGACTTTAGATGAGTTATGTGAGAACTACTCAAGCAAAGAATCACTGAAAGTTCAACAGAAGAGAACCCGAAACAAAACCGACATTAGAATTGACGATTGCGTCCGTTCCAGTATTGTCAGTCCCAGATGTAACGAATTACAAATCAAATAACTGAACACAATTGCCAACATTGTACACACCGCATTTCGTATTGATGATGAAATGTTCGACTTTTGTATTGAATCATCTCGTTTATTGAAGCTGACCGCTTCGGATAACTTCAATTGAAATACACCTTTGCAAAGTATCAATCGCTTGTAAAATTTCAAAAGGGCATCAAGCAGTGGTTGACTTGTTCGTTGTCAAGTGCACAGTGATAATTGGTTGGTCACTGAAGTAATTAGTGACTACTGGTTTGAGATGGACTTGAGTCTTACGGTAATGAGGATGATCTCATTCCACCTAAGCGCTATAATTCGTGCGATAAATCGTTCACAAATCAAATTTCACATATTTTTTGAACGTAAATTGTGAACATGCTAATTGTAAATGAACTAACAGACCTTGCGCACAGTTGTATCCTTAGCGAGTTTTATCACAATAAGTATATTCAGGCCAACGAGAAGACCGAACGGCAGAAATATTTGCAAGAAAACAATAAAATAGAAGTCATAAAAATAATAAATTTCACTCTCCTGCAATAGCAACAATTTCGCACTAGAAATTGATCTGCTTTAGATTATGATATGATAAATTCACTTTTCTGCACATATTGACAGTTTCAAAAACGAGAATTCAAAGCATTTTGATGAGTAAGAACTGTGAGCATCAACCAACCATTGCCCATTCCTGAGGCTCAACAGCGAGACTTCGAACGAAATCTGGACAGCTGTCGTAGCGATGTACAGTCAATGCGAACAACGATGGTATCCGAAGTACGAAGCATGTGATCAGTGTATAAAAGACCGTAATGCAACGGATACGAACGCTTACCAAGTTACTGTTACGACTGAAAAATAGCATTCCGACAAACGGTTACCGAAAAAAAAATGTGAATGTAATGTCAATTTTCATGTTCAGCTGTTGGCTTGACCACAACACATTCATTATTAGAACATTGCGCAGGACTGGAACTATTCATTTGTTGGTTTGTCTAATTGTAAGTTATTGACCAAACACTGCTTAATAGCAGTGGCAATGACGAATTACCCGTTTTAACATTTTCGAGTGCAGCCAACATCAACGCTATCTCTACGGTCGAATTTTCACTGATGAGATCACTGCAGCGACTTGC